GCTGGCAGCAGCTTTATTCACACAGTGAGGCCGAAGTAAAGATGAAACCTGATTACGTGATTATTGGTGAGTGAAAATATAAAACAAGTTCCATCACTGAGCTCATTAAGAAAAACAAACGATGTCCTGCTGACAAAAGACGTCTCTGAGGTCTGTCCTGCTTCATGTCCTGCTTCATGTTCTGCTCCATGTTCTGCTTCATGTCCTGCTTCATGTTCTGCTTCATGTTCTGCTTCCTGTTCTGCTTCATGTTCTGCTTCCTGTTCTGCTTCATGTTCTGCTTCATGTTCTGCTTCCTCAGAGCTGCAGGACTTCATGTTGAAACATGAACCAGGAGCAGAAAGCAGCCACAGATTTCTGAGTTTCTCTGGTTAAATCCTTGCAGTTGTAGACGTGTCCTTGTCAACCTGTGTGTCTTCCTGAGCAGCTCAGGTCCGGCTGGTCGGCGGCGCCAGCCAGTGTTCCGGTCGGGTCGAGGTGTTCTATAAGGGCCAGTGGGGAACCGTCTGCGATGACGAATGGGAGCTGTCCAGCGCTGACGTGGTCTGCAGACAGCTGGGCTGCGGTCATGCCATCTCTGCCCCGACCAGCGCCCACTTTGGCCAAGGTTCTGGTCCGATCTGGCTGGATAATGTGGCCTGTTCGGGCAAGGAGTCGGCGCTGTCGCACTGCACCCACCTGGGCTTTGGAGAACATAACTGTGGACATGGAGAAGACGCCAGCGTCATCTGTTTAGGTGGGAGGTCTTCAGGCTTTTTGTCTATTTCATGTTTAATGAAGGATGTTTACATGTAAAAACAATGACATCACCTCAAAATGTGCATTAATTATACAAACATTTAGCTTCATGCTGCAGAAAACTGACAGTTGGTGAAGTTTTATTGTAGAGTTTTATGCAAAAGATCTTTTATAAACAATACTGAAGCAAAACTAGTATTTACTGAGTTAGTTCACTAATTTACAATCTGCTGTTAATTTTGGATTCTGTCAAGCGTAATATGAGTTTTACATAAAGTGGATATTTCATCTGATTTTTTGTATTTCTACACATTAGAAAAGTAAATTTAATCTATTTTTTACAGTTTCATTGATTCTTTGTGTTGTGTAGCGGAGCGTTAGCAGGGAAGTCTTGTGAAGCTGCTTTGAATTAATTTAGTGAGAAACAAACAAGAAAAAGTTTCAGGATTACAGACAGACGATGTGTCACATGACCGGAGCAGCTGTTGGTTCTGACACCAGGTGTGCTTCACTCTGTTCCAGGCGCTTTGGCCAAACCTCAGATCACCTTGTATCCTGCTACGGAGGTCAACTGGGGCGATAAGGTGGAGATCACCTGCACCGTGGTCACTGAACACCTGGGAGGAACCTTCGTCCTGAAGAGGATCCAGGACTCGTTTCAGATGGAGAAGTTCTCCGACCACGACACTGCGACATTCACCTTCCCTACAGCAGACTTCAACCAGAGAGGATCGTACTTCTGTGAATATCAAAAGAAGCTTCCTGGTCAGATCATCTACTATCCTCAAGGAAACACGGCTGCTCTCTCCGTCACAGGTAGCTGAGCTGCTGCACCACTCATGTGACTGATATGCAAGATCAAAAGGTTCTGAGACTGTTCCTATGAAAAAACTCAATTCAAATGTCACCTCAGTGTCTCTGTGCAGAGCTGCTCTGCTCCCAAAGCTCCTACAACACTTTAACGCTCCCTGAAGTCCTGATCCGGACCCGCCAGCTCAGTCTGGGATCACTCTGCCGAACAAGTCCAAACAGAGAAGAAGAAGAAGAAGAAGAAGAAGAAGAAGAAGAAGAAGAAGAAGAAGAAGTCAACAGGAGGTGGATCTGGAGAGTGGTGATTGTGTTGTTGTGGACAAAAATGTGTCCAAAGAGAAAACGTTGTCCAACATGAGTGTAGATGGTCAACAATGACAAACGTTTGTCCAAAATAAGGTACAAATGATCTAAAGTGACTCAGAAATGATCTCCACTTTCTATTGCTATAAGATGAGTTGACTGAATAAAACTGAAAACACACAAGAAGTGTTCAGTAGAGCTGAAGATAGCAGCCAGCTCCTCACCTGGTCTGCTGACCTCACCTGGTCTGCTGACCTCACCTGGTCCGCTGACCTCACCTGGTCCGCTGACCTCACCTGGTCCGCTGACCTCACCTGGTCTGCTGCACAGGCTCATGTTTGTGACCACGATGTGCTCCGTGCAGCACCAACGGTCTCAGAACCTTTTGATCTGTGTGTGGATAAAGCGGGTGTGAACATGGGTCTGACTTTGTGAATCTCTCCCTGCAGTGAAGCTGGAGAAGCCCAGCATCTCGCTGTCCTCCCCTCATGCCATGGTGGTCTACAGTCCAGACAAAGTGTCGGTCACTCAGGGCAGCTCCTTCTCTGTCACCTGCTCCACCCACTCCAGGTATCCTGGAGGCTTCTTCTACCTGACCCGGTCCAACAGGAGCACCACGGAGGCCAAGCCAGCCTTCGGTCACTCCATCTTCTACCTGGCCTACTTTGAGTTTCCCTCCATAGAGTTGGAACACCAGGGAGAATATTCCTGCGTCTACGGACTGAACATCTCCTCGCTGTCCTTCTGCTCTGTTCCCTCCAAGTCTCTGCAAGTCACCGTGATCTGTAAGAACCACAGAAGAAGAACAGATGCTGTCATGGTACCCTTTAGACTACTCTGGAGCTACGGTGTAATCTCACCACCCAAAAGTTACTTGAAGTAGCTGTAAAGGGACGATGGGGTTTGTCTGTTTGTTGCTAATGAGGACGTTTGAAAACAGCTCCACTGGTGCATTCCCAGTAGCTCCAGAGTAAACACATGTCAGGCTGCAAGTGCTCTTCCTGGTTTTCTTCCTCTGAAACTCTGCAATCTCCTCATCCCTGCAGCCGCCTCCTCCTCCTCAGTGGTCGGAGGAGTTGTGGGTTTTCTGGTGGTTCTGGTGCTGCTGCTGGTGGTTGGTTTCCTGGTGTGGAGGAGGAGATGGAGAGGTTCTGGTAAGAGAGCATCACATAGAGAACTAAGGCTGTTTAGCTCTGCACCAGCTAGCATGTTAACTGACTAAATTACAAAGTATAATGTGAGAAGTGCAGCTTGTGGAGATGAAACCAGATAATCATGAAGCAGGTGGAGGGTTGGAGCATCTTTCAGCTTCGTTCTCACAGCTCACGGTTCTTCATGGTGGTCCTGCTCCATTAGCGCAGCATTAACGTACCTGGTCAGCCTGTTCATTGGTTACATTCAGGTTGACCAATCACAGGTCTGGTGCCTGTGGTGATCTGATTCATCACCAAACCTTTGAAGGTATCTGCTGATGTCATGGTGATGTTCTGGTCAACTTTTCAGGAGTCATGGTTCAGTTCAGGAACAGGTTTGAAGAAGCAATGAAACGAGACATGGAGGACAGAAGCAACGGAGCTCTGGATGGAAGGTAACGAGAAGGAAGAAGCGTATTTTTGTTTGTTGAAGGCGTTAATGTGGGTTTAACCTCTGATGTCCTGCAGAGAACGCAGCAACCAGCTGTATGAAGGTGGACCGGGTTGCAGCTCGGAGGACAAAGCTGCCGACGTGGACGCTGATACCGGAGTGGACAGAGTTCCTGAAGATCTGGCTGGAAGAGTCTGTTACGAGCTCGAGCCTCTCGTCCTGTCGTGATGAAAACTAAAGCCAGTCATGTGATCTGTTTTACAGTTTTATCGATTCTCCATTAAACCTTCATCCATGTGTTGGCAGCAGATATTGGAAGTGCAGAGAACAAGAAGAAGCTTCTGATCAGACTAAAGTTCTGCGAGGAGCCTGTAAAGTGGAATAAACAGCGTTTCTGATCAGTCTCCTGACGTTTAGACGTTTAACTGCATCAGCTCCGCCTTGACTTTACTGAACCTAAAGAGCAGCTTAACACCAGTTTCACAGTTTGTCTCTGCGTCCAGCCACAACACGAGAAGTGAAACTACTGCAGCTCATCAGAAACCTTCAGTGTTATGCTGATCTTTAGAGGAACAACAGCTGTTACACCATCTTTAAAACTTCCTCCACTAGATGCTGTTATTTACTTTACTGGAAATTAAAACATGATTTTAAGTAACCGACCTGCAGCGCCTCAGATCCTCTTCACACTTTGCTGATTTGTCATTTGTGACCAAAAACTAAGTTCTGAAAAATATTTGGACCGAATTTTGAGAACTTTGTATGTTTTCAGACCTGACAAATTTAGTATTTTTACCCTCAAAAAGCAAAAACAGTTGAGCTGCATCTCTGAGCTGCTCATCTGATGACTTGTGTCCACGTGGAAGCAACACTCAGTGAGCTTCAGATAACAAACTGTTAAACATTTGACCTTCTTTGGAGAGTGAAATGAAAACTGGGAATAATCTGACACTTAGTTTGGGTCCCACAGGACAAATCAGCAGAAGCATGATCCTGACTTCTGTCTGAACCGACACTTTGATATGAAGTGATTTTATTTTTCTTCCACATTTCGTTGTCTTTGTGTTGGATGATAATTCGATGTTTTGCTGTGATATTGATCAATAAATGTGTGTTTCTTATGTTTTTGACCCACGTCATGACTTCATCCTCCTGATCAGAGAAAATACGCTCAGACCCCTCTTTAGATGATCAGAAAATAATTGATGAGTTGTCAGCCAATAATCACCAACTATTCTGATGATCAATCGCTTTAAGTCCTTTTTATTAAAAACTGTCTAAATTCTGTGATTTCAGCTTCTTCAGTGTGAATGTTTTCTGGTTTCTTTCTTCCTTTATGACCCTAAACTGAAGAACTTTGGACAAAACAAAACTCTGATCCACATTTTAGAATATTTTTGAGGCCAAACAGTCGATGGAATCATCTAGAAATGAGTCCCCAGACGCTCCAGTGATGGATGTAGTGGCTAGCAGCAGACCCTAAACCCAGAGCTTCACTACTCACTTCATTCTTTTAATGGCGGTTTGCTTTAATTTCATGTTTTCAGGAAACAGGATCAGTGACATTAACACGACGTTCTGAGAGTTTAAAGTTCTGTATTTATTCCCTTCAGAGCACTCGTCCATAGTTGGTAATGGTTATGTGATCAGGTTGTGTTCAGCCTCATGAAAACAGAATCCATCTGTTCACCCACTCATTTGACATCTTCTTTAGAAACAAACCAGACGTTAATAAAACAAGCGGAGCACCAGTTCATGACGTTCTAATGATGCTGACAGAAGCTGTGGCTTTACTCTGCTGTTCGATGGGCCGTCCATGTGCTGGAGTCCAGCTACAAGTTCTGTTCACTGAGTAGAACCTGGACTTGTGTTCAGGTTCTCAGTATTTAAATGAGGACATCTGAGTGGGAACCATATGAGTCCTGCAGCAGTTTGTCTGCATCTGCTGAGAGGTGGATCAGATGAAGGATCCTAACCCGAACCCTGCTCCTCCGTCCGTCCAAACCTTTATTCACGCGTTGAAAGTTCAAACCCACAGAGCTTCCTCCTGACAGAACAGCTGACTGGGTTTCACACTGTGCTGCTGAGCGTCAGTCTGTCAAATGTGTGTTTGGATTCCCCTGTTTGAAACACAATGGAACATTCCAAGATGGCCGCCGGGCCTCGCTCAGGAGCTTCACACCTGAACCCTGCTCAGGATCCTTCTGCTGCTGCTGACATCTTGAACTGAGGATTCTTTCCTGGATTCTTCAACCATCCGAGGTGAGTTTAAGTCCTGCTGCTGAAGATCAGACCACAGCTGGTGAGTAACTGAAGCAGCTTCCTGGATTCAAACTGTGGAGATCTGTGTGGTTCTCAGTTCACCTGGAGCCTTCTGCTCACCAGTCAGCCGCTGGTCCATGTTCTGTGGTTTGTACCTGAGTATCTTGTTGGTTTATTTATTCATTCCTTTTGGACTCTTTGGTCTATTTGGATGAAAGTGAGTGAGTGGATGCTCATCATGCCACTGTTTGAAGGTTGTTGTGTCTCTCTTCAGCAGAGTAATGAACGTTTCAGTCAGAGATGGTTCATTTCTCCTGGTTCTATTTCTGTTCTAAAGGTTCTAAAGGTTCTCTCAGAGAAAATCAGGTTTTACTACATCAGCCGACATGTGAATGAGTGAGACAGCAGCTAAGTGTCTGTCTGAGGATCATTTTACAGTAAGTCTGAGTGAATTCTCTGTTTGCTGTCAGACGATGTTATAAAATCAGGTTTAAATGGAGGGATGCTGGTTAACGTGTGGTCTGGAGGAGGTTCTGCTGCCTGACACCAGAAACATGTGGAGGTGAGAGCAGCTGATATTAAATGATGTGAGAGCAGCTCCAGACGAAACCATGAAGACCCTGGACCACCCAGTCCTGGTTTACTGGTTAGAGTTCCATCATCTCTGAATGGTTAATGGTCTGCACTCATAGAGCGCTTCTCTACCGTAGCGGTGCTCACAGCACTTCATTCACACATTCATACACCAATAGTGACAGAGCAGCTTCAGGTTCAGTGCCCAAGGACACCTGGACTGTGGAGGGATCGAACCGCCAACCTTACGATCAGAGGACGACCTGCTCCTCCACCTGAACCACAGCCGCCCTGAACGTCTCTCAGAACTTTGCTGTTTGTACTGATGGAGTGTAGCTGCTTCTGATATCATATGAATGGATGTGTCTTCGTTTTTCACTTCGTTGTACCTTATTTATGATATCAATGAAAAGCATTCTGTTCTATTCTATCCTACAATCCAACATGCTTCCGCTTGTCCATTGTTAGTTTATTGTCGAAGTCATGGAGAATTATCTTTCTGTTTTTATTGATGATGATGATGATGATGAAGAAAAACAGATCTTAGGAGGTTTTTACCATCAGAACCCCAAACTGTCAGCAGGTTTAAAGGGTTTGTGTTTGTTATAAAAATCACCATTCATCAGCCAGAAACTAAAGCAGAAAGAATCCTGTGTGATGAAGAAGGAAAACAGAACCAGGAGCCGACAGCATCCAGAGTTCAATGATCCTTCAAATGTGGCTGAAAATGCTTCATCTGTTTTCCACCAGGTGGCGTCCTAGATTTATTTCAGAACCCACCTGATCTGAGTGTGCCTTCTGCTGTTTAAAGCTCTGCTGTTTGTCCTGCTGCCCTCATCACGTCCACTCATGTTAACACTGATCCGGTTCCCTGATCACACCACAGCCTCCTACCCTTCACCAGCTTTTCAAAAATAATCATAAACTTCATTTCAGCAGCACTTGGTCAACCTGACGTTACAAAAAAGAGCAAAAATAAAACATTAATAGTAGTTTTCACTGACTTCTGTACGTTTCTACGTATTGTAGGGATGTTCAGCATACCCAGGGTTAGGGTTAGGGTTAGGGTTAGGGTTACCCTAACCCTAACCCTAACCCTAACCCAGCATCAGTTAAACTGCAGCTTTCCTGTGACAACAGAACGATGGATTAAACTCATCATGTGACGCCTTCGTCTGCTTCCAGCTGTTCAGGCTGTTCATTGTACTTTTGTTATTTCCTCCTGCCCAGAATCTCCTTTTAAAAAAAGAAGCAGGTGAAGGTGAGTCTTGTTTGTTTCCCATCGAGACTCGCTGATCAGCAGCTTCAACACAAACAGCGTCAACATGACTCAGCTGTAAATCCTGTGAACCACTGAGGACGCTGCTTCTAACGGTTCTGACTGTGTTCACTGTTAGCTGAGGTTCCTCCTCAGAGCTGAGTGATGCTGACAGGTGTCGGACTAATTGGATCGGATTCTAACATGACATCAAAAGACGTCACCGCCTCCTTATAAATGGCAGTAATGAGGACATTCTTTACCTCAGAGCAGATTACTGCCTTCAGTCCACCGAGCTGACGGATCCGTCTGGCATCAACACCATCAGCGGTTTCTCTTTGAAAAAGGAACCGGTCCAATCTGCCACTGTAGAACTCGTGAGCAGCCAATCAGAACTGTGGGCGGAGTTAAAACTGCTGTCAGACTCTGGATCGAAGGAGGAACAACAACAGAGGAGGAGCTTCAACCTGCTGAATGTTGTTCTGGGTTCTGATATGAACCTCGTTATTAATTAATTTACTATAAGC